ATATTCTCACTTTTTGACCGTCTGCTTTGAGATGAACACTGACAGGGGGACGAGCATCAGAGCCAGAGCAGCAGCTGAGCTCGAGATGCTTCTGGACAGAGAGAGTCAGCGCCGGTACAAAGACAGAAGAGGAACCTCAGGCAGTGAAAATACTTCAGAAAGGAGCGCAACAGCTGCTGTTACAGACGTTTGATGCTGAATGTGAAAGGAAATCTGACAAACTGAATAAAAAAAAAGGTGCATTAAATATAGATAACACTGTCTCTCTCTCAGGAAATCTATGAAGCTAATGCACCGCTCAATTTGATGAATTTTTCAGATTGAAGCCTCATGTCTTTTACATTTTGTACTTTTGATCGGTTATTTTGGTTTGACGTTGTAATTTAGGGAGCGCACTTGTTGTCCTCACTTACTGTACCTACACCGGACACTGATTGGTTTGTAGACGGGTGTGCGTCTGACCTCGGCGGCGTTTGAATGGAGAATATGAATGAGCTGGTTCATTTTTGCTAATTCCATTGCCATGGTAATATCGTTATGTTATCACTACCAGCAACTTCAGGCGCAAATGGAAATTTGTCTCTGGCCAAAGTGGTACAGCAGCTGCAGAGGAGCACACTATACAACACACTACAACAACAAAAAGCAGCACACAAGGACATATCACGCAAGACCCAGAATAATGATGTAGAATACAAGTGAGTTGAATATTGCGCCTGCCCTAAAAACACTTAAATAATAAAACACTAAAAGGATAAAAGACGATAAGCAAGATGAAAAACAGAAACTAGCAATAAAACTGAAAAACCAAAGTGTGAAATGTGCTCGTGGTTATTGAGATACGTTACAGAATCAACACGTCTCCTCACTGAGTCGTTCTGACAGACGTTGGGATGAATGAGAGCTTGAGATGTTAGAGTCTTTATATTTCTGTATATTGAATAGTCAGTCTGGCAGAATATATATACATATATATGTATATGTACCACATGTACAGTTATATTGACGTTCAGGGGTCAGACATCAAGAATCAAACGTCAACACTCACTGGTGTGTTGAAGACCTCGTTGTAGCAAACAGACGAGCGCAGGTACCAGCTGATGTTGAACGCCAGGTTTCTTCCACATGATGCTGTGTCACCCTGGACTGCAGGGAGAGAAGACGACCAGTTACTCAGACGGTGAGACTCTGGATTAGTAGACATTAATAGGACACAGATACATCACGTGACAATGTGTGTATTAATTCCAGGAAATAATCTGTGTATTGTCGACTTCCATTCCATCGAGAGATTTTCATCTTTTTCCTACAAGATTCTGTTGCATTGCATCATTTTCTCCGACAGCAGGAGCTGATATTTCTGCTTCCTTCAAAGTATTAAGGATTTCTCACGTATGGCTGTTGGAAGCGGATGCAAACTGTGAGCCTCAGAGAGAGGAAACAGTCTTCGCTCCTGTAGAACTGAAAGCAAAACCTGACACTTATCATTAATTGTTTAAATTTCATTTTCTCCCAGAAAACTCCTCGGTAGCTAAGATGAAAACAAAAATAATCTAGGTGATGTTTTGTGTCTTCTCAAATGAATTAAATTGTTCCAGAGGGAAAAAAAAAATCATGCAAGGCAGCGTTCTCTTTTTTGATTCCTCAGATTGAAGCGTGATGTAGTTACATTCATCCACCTCATCAGCCTGTCAGGTGATCTCGGCCAGAAACAGAAGGTGAAAAACAACGCAGCACAAATGATTCTCTGAAGAAAACGGGAATTTTCTCATTTGATTTTTCATGCTGACATTTCGTTCGCAACGCTGAGAGTTCCCTTTACCAGACTCTGTTTGCAGGACATTGAGCTTATCAATCACATTTGGAGTTAAACCAACGAGGCTCATAAACAAACAGTGAAACGTTCATTTCAGCAAAACAATATCACTCCAGCTGACATTTAAATGTTAAACCCAATGGTGCGTCCTCTGCAGTGAATCTTGAGACAGATAACTACAACAACTGGCATTAGAAAAAAGAGAGCAAAGATTTTCTAGCTCTTGTGATGGAGGAGTTACTCTTTTTGTATTTTAAACCAGCCTTAGGTGGATTGTAACTGGGTCAGAACCACTGAGGGACGTGAAGCCAAATCAACATTTCAGAAGAGAAAGAAGACGAGGGCATGATGGGTGTCTTCTTTGAAATAACTCATCGACCTGCTAGATTTTTTTTTTTTTTTTTGTCAAAACCTGCGTTGGATCAAAAACACTAGAGTTTTGACTGAGTCAGTTTAGTGTTACGTATTTTTGTGACTCACGACTCGCCTGGGAGCAACTGAGTAAAAGTAAATACTCCAGCAATTGGACAAATGATCTTTCTGTTTCAATAGCGTGATCATTACGGCACCAAGACCTTCAATGTTTGAAGTTGCCGACATGCAATGCTGCCCAAATAGTTTAATAAATAGTAACACATTGCCCTCATCCTGTTTGAGTCAATGGAAAAAAACGGTGCAAAACGTACACTTCATAAAGATGGTGGTGTTGGCGTACAGCGTCTTCCGAAACACAGCATTTTGTGTCTGAAAATAAAAAGAGACACATCAGTCAGCTGCTGTTCAGGCTCTTCTCTGACATCCCCATCACTCAGAGATGATTAAATCCATTATTCATTAAACCAGGATGCATTTCAACAGCCACGGTCAGTCTAAACACTGTGTTGTGTCCCTAACATCAGCTGGTGGTTATATATATATACATACACATATACTATACTCCATCTTTCTCATCTTCTTCTTCCGTCCAATGAACTGATGTCAATATAAAGCACGGAAACATGAAGAGCCCTTTCCAAAGAAAACAACAATTTCTACAATTCAGATGAAACACACAAGTGAAAACATCACGAGGATCATTTTCTAATACAATAATAACATGAGAATTCTAATTTCACCTAAGTATCACACACTGGACATTTAAACTAGAGATAATGAGAGATGTTTATCTTGATAACGCGTTCGATCATTTGACTTCTGTGACTCTGAAATAACTGGATCACAGCCAGTGACCTGCAGGTGTTTATGTATTTGATTGACTTCGTGAGACACAGACCAGCAGCGTCATGACACGATCAGCTGAAGGACACGGACAGAGAGAGAGAGAGAGAGAGAGAGAGAGAGAGAGAGAGAGAGAGCAGCTCGTGACAGGTGAACACAGGTACGTGGAGGAGCTAGTTAGCCAGTTAGCTCACCCTGCTAACAGCTGTTGTGTGTGTGTGTGTGTGTGTGTGTGTGAAACCGTCGGTGAACGCAGCGGGCGGAGGAGCAGCACTGACCGGGTTGATGTCCAC